AGGATTGAAATTGGGTAGGATTAGGGCCAAATTGCTGGACATTTGGGATGAATTTAGAGAAATTGGGCCTTTAAAGGCAAGTTGGGGGTTTTGGTCAAATTGGCCAAACTGGATTCAATTGGAGGGTCCAAATTGGTTTTGGAGACAATTGAAATGGTTTTGAATGTTTTAGGAAAGTTTGGGTTGCCAAGGGTATTTTTGTAATTTTGGCAAATTCATGGGTAAATTGGTAATTTTGGAATTTTTGGGTGGATTTGGGCAATTTGGGTATTTTGAAATGGTTTGAAATAATTTTTGAGCAAATTTGGATATTTTGGGTGAATTTGTGGATTTTCACCAAATTTAGGGTTTCAAGGGCACTTAGATAATTTGGGTGGATTTAGGGACATGAGGCCAAATTGGACATCTTGGTAGAATTGGGGTACCAACCACCCTATATGAGTTATGAACTAATGAAATTTGCATTTGGGTCCTCTATGTGTTGGTCTTAGCTAAACCCTAGCCTAGGGCTAGCGGGTCTAGGGGACCAACTACATGAGCCTCCCAAAAGATCAATCATGAGTCTCCCAAAGGATCAAGGGATCCAAGTGTACACCAAAAATAGATACACTTTTAGACTCATATTTTATACTCATTTTTGGTGAAATTGCACTTTAATAGAATGTATTTTGATGTTTTATTGTAGATTATTGATTTTTAGGACTTACAACAAAAAGGAAGCAAAAATGATTAAATTTGGAGTCAAAATAATATTTGTGAAGAAATACCCAGTGCCAGGAGCAGCGCCGATGGCGTAGACCAATAGAATAGGCAGTAAATTTTACTCAGCACCGAAGGTGCCAGGACAGCGCCGATGGCACCAATGTCAGGTCAACCAGTGATTCTAGAAGATTCAACATATTTGGACGCTTTTTGAAGAGATTTTGGAGGCATCTATTGGAGAACCGACTTGAGCCTCTATACGGGGCCGAAATTGATAAGAAAAAGATGACTTTTGGACTCTAATCAAATCTTCTTGACTTCTCATTGCCACAATTCATTCTTTTACATACCATCTTCATTCTACAAACCATTAAGAGTTAATTGTTCTTATTATTTAGAGTTTTTGTAGTGAGATTAGGTGTGAATCTTTCTCTAAGAGTGTTGGAGAAGGATAAAAGTGAGAGATTTCTACTTCCTGCATTTCCTAGGAAAGGCTACAAGGGATTTTTATTGAGAAAGAGCTTCAAATAAGTGTTATTTGTTTAATAGTGTTGTATGAACATTCGTTTATATATGAAATTTGTGTTTTGTTGTATATTTCTCATGAAGTTTGAGTAATTTCCTTTATCTTTCTCCCAACTCTGAGATATGGTGAAATGAAGAGATAACATGGATGTGCCAATGTTAAAATACAAAAAAAATTGTGATGATTTTTCAACTTTGAACTTAATTTACTTTTCGATTTGGCCAATTGAATTGTTAAAATGTGTTATGAAACATATGATCCGGGAAATGGAGTATGATTTCTACAATAAAGTGAGGATCACATTTGATTCCATGAAGGAGAAATTCGTTGATGGAATTAAGTGCAAATAAATAAGGAAATATACTTTATTGGGTGTAGAATTGGAGAATCTTTAGGGTGACAGACTAAAATCCCCAATTTGGTCTTAGTGTTTAAAACTAAAGCGAGAGTTAGCCTTCAGGTGAAGGGAAGTGGGAGCTCTGGAGTGGGAGCCGGTATCATCCTAGCCTAGCCACGAATTTAACATTCTATCAGGATAGAGAATTAAAACTGCTCCTATTTGGCACAATACATATTATAAACATTTATCTCATCTCATTTCACCAAAATCTCTTTGTAGTGAGAAAGATGCTTTTTTACATAAGAAATCTTCATTACATAAACATAGTTTAGTAAATTAATAATTACCGTTTAAACTTTTCATTTCTGTTTTGCTAAAAGTTAAGTAATTTAGTTGTGATAATATCTTAAAATTCAAAATTAGTGACAGAAATTTCGTTTTACTTTCTGTGAATTTTCTAGTTAATTTATCATCTCAAATTTAAACCCTCAACGTGGGATCGATATTTGGGGCTTAAATAGACAGTCCATTATTACTTAATAATGATACGTATACTTGCGTAGAATAATAATGATACGTATACTTGCGTATACTTGCGTAGAATCCCATTATTAATTGCCTATACTTATATAAATTTTACACAACTTTACTTTCTCGAGATCACCAAGTCAACCATTTTGGGTTTTAGGATTGTGAGTGATTGTGGGTGGTGGTGAGTGCAAGTGAGTGAACTAGCTCCAAACCTACACCTAGAGTCAACCTTAAGGTCAAACATTCTTATAGGGACTCTCCTTGAGATCCCCCATACTGACCCCACCTACTAAGCGCTAGCGGTTCTAATGGTGAGGGTTCCTTTCTAGTTTTCTAGGAATAGTCAATAGAAAAGTTCTATGGCTAGATCCTAGGCTACTAAAGAGGGAAAACTAAACCTCAACCAACAGTGAGGTCAACATGCATGAATTTTCAAAGGGACACTTGTTCTACACACCTATTGGAGTAATTCAATGCATTTAGACACTTTAGAATGTTCTTTTATGAAGGGATATGTCTAATGGATCAAATGACATATTTTTTGAATTCAAAAGTGTTGACTTTTGGAGGAAATTTGGAATTCTTTTCAAAGGAGACAACCCAAAAATAAAATAGAAGACTTCAAGGGGGCTTAGAGAGGGACGAGAAATAAAGAGATAGAGAAAGTTGGCGTGAGAGGCAAGAGGAGAAAAGAGTTGATTTTCTTCTAGGGTTGTAAGAGGAGAGAGAAGGTGAGAGATTTCTTCTTCATTACACTTTTATGAGAGAATTGAGTGGGATTATAAAGAGAGTAGGGCTTGGAGAGAACTTCTAGGGATTTTCTTGGGAAAAATTGTGAGAAAAGTTGTTTTTTTTATTTCTTTTGTTTTGTAAACTTGTTTTTATATATGAAATCTGTGTTTTGTCGTATCCTTTTCATGAATTCTGAGTAGTCTTCTTTATCCTTCGCCCTACTTTGAGATATGGTTTTGTGAAGAATTGATTTTATTTTCTACGGTTTTAAATGTTAATAATTTGTGATAATTTGAACTCCAATCTTCATTTACTTTTGGATTTGGCCAATTGAAATGTTAAAACTTGTTGAGAGACATATGTTCTAAATGAGACATGATTTCTACAACATAGGGGAGAGTCACATTTGAATTTATGAGAGAGTATGTCATCCATGGGATTGGGTGCAAATAAATATGAAAATGTACTTTGTTGGATGCAGAATTGAAGAGTTTAAGGTGACAGATTAAAATCCCCAATTTGGTCTAGTTGATTGGAAACTGATACGAGATTGTTAGGCCTCAGGTGAGGGAGTTGTGGGAGCTCTCAAGTGGCAGCCGGAATCCTCCCTGCCTATTTGGCACAAAATAATAGACTCTAGATTAGTAAATGTTCTTTATAACACTCAGAGAAGAGTAAAGAATAAGATTGCTCTTTTTTAACACAAAACCATATATATATATATATATATATATATATATATTTTCAAATGATTTCAATTTCTTCACAACCTATATACTTATTGTAAAGGGGAATGATGTTTACTTAAATTTGAACTTTCTGTCAAAACAAAAATTTTGTTTAGTTTTCGTAATTTTACATTTGAAAGTTAGTTCTTAGTTAGTTAACTTTATTTTTCAACTGCATTTTATATAGCATTTTCCTTAATAGTTAATGTTCAAACTTCGTACTTTAGTTTTATTTTTTGTATTCTTAATTATAAAATAATTTTAAAAAGTTATTTAAAGGATTTTCCAACTTTCATGTGAGATCGATATCTAGAACTCCATTAGAGCCCTTTATTACTTGAGCGATACATTTACTTGTGTTGATTTTAACGCGGAGTTGATAGTTTAAAAAGAGTTTTAAAAGATAAACTATTTTCATAAAAGGTATTTTTGTTGGTATCATATTACATATTTATTATATTTTTGTCTTGTGTAATTTTGTAATATTGAAAAATACTTGTAAAATTTACACACTTAATCTACCTGCATCAAGTAGCACACTCTACACACGAGTAGATTCGAACTCATGACCTAAGGGGCTTATGACATTTAGATAAACTGCTCTACCAATAGGTCACAGTATGTGCATATATATATATATATATATTGTAACTGGGGTTACAAGGGATAAGAGGAGAGGGATCTCCTTACAGATATGGGTCTTGAGAGAAAAGCCAAAAACTCCATATACATCCTATAGACCCGCTATTTTATAAAAGATAGTGGATCAAAATATAAAATTACACATCTGCCCCTGCTTTAATAAGAGCATTATAGGACATTACTATCTTTTTTCGTAACTTTTCATATTCATAACTGATTTTCCCGTCATTTAATGTATCAAAGCCTTATGGTCGGTAGGTCCTCGAGTCTGTCGATCCATCTGATGTTAGTCGACTATTTTGCTTGGATGTCGGTCAATCTTCACTCTAGGAAGTCAGTGGGAGAGAGACAGTCTGTCAGCTCTAAGATGATTGATCAAACTTTTGTTCTTTGGCTATGTCTGAAGATCTTCAAGGATTTTTTAGAATAGTAGCTAAGAGAGCTTCATATTATTAATGGTGAGATTGCTAGGAATACTAGATTATTGTTCGATATTTGGGGTGAGTGTTTATTTTTTGTTGGTCTGTCATCAACTTTTTGGTTGAGTTATTGGGCTAATGGTCTTCAATAGATAATTTTATGAGCACTTATAGCTTTTTGTTAGAGAGATATTTCTCCATTGATCTTTTTTTTATCTAGATCTGTGTAGATATTTTTGGGTACAGACACATGTAAATGATTGACACCATTCAAGAAAAAAAAAAAACCGCATCAACAGTGCCGATATTTACAATAATAAAATCACTTTTCAGGATAAAAAGACATTCGAATAAATAGAGGCAGTATCAAAATCATCATTATCTAAATTTAAAAGGAGGGTATGATAAATGTTGACTGGTCAAAACCTTATTTGGAATCAGACACTTTAATTCGTTCAGCCCGCATCTGATTCTCCTCTCTCTCTCTCTCTCGTACGTGTGATGAGTAGAGGAATTGATGGCTGGTGATGACGAATCCATGACGTGTCTGCGATCACAGCCGTTACATAACCGGGGTTAGATGATGTATATAACTTGAAATCCAAGGGCGTTGTTTATTTAAAGAATTATTCTTGCTTGCTTTCTTTCTGTCCTCACACAAGCCCAGTTCTGTGTCTTCTTTGAAACCATTTGACCGTTGGATCATCTCTTCTTCTCTTCCAAGGTAATGCCGGTAACTTTACTAGCTCATTTTTTCTCCATTTGCTTTCACCAAGCCTGCACCTCCGTCTTCATTCTCCGTCTTCGTCTAGGATTCATTCAATCAGAGCCAGCTGGCCGCCTCCCCTCGTCCTATTTTCCATCTCTGCTTCTCATTCTGGCTAGGCGGAGGAAAGGAAGAGACATCTTCCCGCTTTCAGCTTAAACAAGCTCAACGGAGCCTCTTCTCCGCACGTTAATTACGGTGGCGTTCATTTTCCTTTAAGAAATATGTTCTATTGCTTTTGTTTGCTTGATTCTATAGGATAAACATGACAAGGAGATGCCTTTCTCCATAACTGTGCTGTGCGTGTGCATTGTTTCTGTTAATGTTTACGTAAAGCGTGAAGCATATATAATACTTGATTCCCGTCTGGTTAGCTGAAAAACATCTGCTAAGAGGGAAGGAATCTGCTTGCTTCTTGCTTGGCCACTGCCCTCTTTTTATGCTTCATGCTGTATGCAGAAAATGACTGATTTCTTCACTCATAGAGCATGATATTTTATCGTGATTCCTTGGATCATAAAAATTTGATCTTTTTGTGCTCTTTATAATCTTGGCTTAGAATTTAAGGCGTTGCCAGACCGCCCCTAAAATTTAAGGGGTTGCCAGGCAGCCCCGAATTTATGGCACTGTTTTTCATAAGGACGTTGTAGAATAAAACTTCTGAGAAATATATTAATTCATTGCTTCTTATAGAAAGTCGCACTTTTTTCATGGCTCGTGTCAATAGCTTTTTGAGTAAAGTTCAGATCCAAAGAAATCTTTTGCTCTTTACTTCTCTTAATGTTGATGCTTTGTTGCCAGGACTCGTCAACTTCTTCATAAAAGCATTTGGTTACTTCTTCATTCGAGTATTGATTTCTTGCATTGGCAATACTGCAGCATTTGAAGGAAGTATAATTGATGAGATGTATGCAGAACTAGAGAATCACAGGAGTTTTCTGAAATGTCTTTATTTCTTCTGCTCTAGCTTCGATTTCAGTTTAAAGAATTCTTTGGAGGGCTGAGATGGGATGTTCGGCTTCTAAGCTGGATGATGAGGAGGCAGTTCAGCTCTGCAAAGAACGAAAGAAGTTCATTAAACAGGTGATTGAGCACAGAAACAGATTTGCCTCTGGCCATGTTGCTTACATTCAGTCAATGAGGCGAGTCTCATTTGCTCTTCTACAGTATGTTTTGGCTGATGATCTCCACGAGTTTCTGTCTGATTCATACACCACTCCTCCATTCACTCCTGTGAAGGAACTGAGCCCAGAAATCAGAGCTCCTCTTAAGTTCTCTACACCAACAACAAATGAGAGGGTAAAGAACAGCGTTTACACTGTAAATTACTTAAGATCAGGTGGAACTCAATCAGTTGCTGTTGAAGAATGGCTCGAGCCACATGAAACTGTGCAGCTTGAATCCTACTATCCCAGGGAAACTCTTGGTATGAATGGTTTCTTTGTGTCACAATCTTCACCAGTTAATAGAGCATCATTCTTCTCTTCTCCTTACAATAGATCAAGCTATCAATTCTCATCTCCTCAAACTTCTATGTGGGATTATTTCTGGAATCCTTTCTCATCGGATCAGTTGGGGTATTCCTCAAGGAGCAGTTTTGATAGGACAGTAAACGATGACGATATAGCTGGGTTGAGGCAGGTTCGAGAAGCGGAAGGAATTCCTGAACTGGAAGAAGATATAGATGATGATCATGACCATGACCATGAAGAAGAAAATGCAGTTTTTTGGAAGGCTGAACCAAAGAATGAGACACTAGAGGTTGAATCTAAGCATACAGTCCTAGTTTGTGATGAAAGTCCGGTTTCTGCAAATACAGAGGTTGAACAGGTTCAAGAGGTAAAGGAGTTCAAATCTAACGGGGCACAGAGCACTGAAGCATCAAAAGATCAAAATGCAGTAGAACTGGAGATCCCAACTCGGTATCTGGTGGCAGCAACCAGTAATGCTGAAAAAACACCCGGTTTTACAGTATATGTGAACAGAAGGCCTTCTAGCTTGGCGGAGGTGATGAAGGATATGGAGAATCAGTTCATGAGAATCTGTGAATGTGCACATGAGATATTGGTAATGCTGGAAGCAAATAGAGCTCATTATTCTTCAGCTTCGAATGATCTGGCAGGTAAAATAATAAAAAGTATGGCATAATTGTATGGAATTTTGCGTTCAAGTTATTAATTTCCAAAAATAAGATTTGCTGGATATTTTGGCAGCTGTGAGAATGCTGAATCCAGTTGCTTTGTTTCGATCAACCTCATCATGTTCATCCTCTTCAAAATTTTTTAAAGCTTCATGTAGTTCAAAAGGGGATGCTGATGAGAGCAGTAGTGATTATTCAGAGGAGTGTTGCATGGTCTCTGGAAGCCACAAATCTACCTTAGACAGGCTATATGCATGGGAGAAGAAGTTATATGAAGAAGTAAAGGTGCTTGTTTTAATGCTGAGTTGGATAATAGCTATTTTTTCAAGAAAGAAACGATAAGTATATATATTACTCCTAGGATTTTAGCTAAAGTATATCTGTATAAAATGCAAAATTTTATTGGCATTCTGCAAGACAACTTCTTTCTCTTTAAGAAAGCAAATTATTTTTAATTACTTTGGTTGTTTTCCTTGAAAACAAGAATATATATATATATATTTTTTTCATTTATTTTTATTTTTATTTTTATTTTTATTTTGTACAAAATATCAAGATCTTACAGTTTGAGAAGATGTATCTTACAAAATGATCTAAAATTTGAGAAAGATTGCCTAACTGGAAACTTATCCAACAGTCTGGTGAATGTATGCGGATTGCTTATGAGAAGAAATGCGTTCAACTGAGGAATCATGATATCAATGGGGACGAGCCTTCTGTAGTTGATAAGACAAGAGTGGCCATAAAAGATCTTCACACCCGCTTAAAAATTTCTATTCATACGGTTGAATCAATTTCGAAAAGGATTGAAGTCTTGAGGGATGGGGAATTGTACCCTCAGCTTATGGAGATGATACAAGGGTATGCTCTATGACCTTATAACTTTGCTTTAATATTTTCCAGTACAACAGTGTGTGATGCATGAATTCATTTGGGTTATGTAAGTTTGCATACGTGAAGAACGAGGGAGGAGAATGAGTTGGGCTGTTCAATGGGATGAGAGAATGGAAAAGAAAGAATTATAATTACATCTATATAAGAATAAATAATAAATCTTTATAATGATTACATTCAACTTGGTTCATTATAATGGCACTTGAAAGTATGAAGAATGAGTCAATAAGTTGAGAGAAGGGGAAAGAAAGAGTTAAGGTTTTATAGCTAAGTTTAAGGTTTCTCATTGCTATATAGACAACAACAACTACAACAACAAAACCTTTATACCACTAAGTGGGGTCGGCTACATGAATCCTTGTTCTCCACTGCGTCCTATTTAGTATCATATTTTTATTTAACTCCAATAAATTATGATTATTTTTTATATAATATGCCAAAAACTTCCTAGGTTTACCTTTGCCTTTCTTAACTTAAGTTGAATCTAAAACATCTACTCTTCTAATTGGATCATCAGCTGGTCGACGATTAATGTGACCAAACCATCTATGGCGACTCTCTATAATTTTGTCTGTCACTGGAGCTACATCAACCTTATCACAGAAATTCTCATTTTGCATTTTATCTCTAAAATATAAAGCCACTTTTCGACCTAATCATTCTCATCTCGACAACACTTAATTTAGTTCTATGCTTCTCTTTTAAAGGCCAACATTCAGTGCCATAGAGCATTGCAGGTCTCACCACCATCTTATAAATATTTCTTTTCGGTCTAAGCGGTACTTTTCTATCACACAATAAGCCCGAAGCATTCCTCCACTTCAACCAACCAACTTGAATTCTACTAATGACATCCCCATCAATATCACCATCACTTTGAAGAATAGACCCGAGATATCTAAAGCGTGTTCACACCTTTTAATAATTTGATCACCCATGTTACATTTCTATCACTAGAGCTACTACTAGTAAAATTACATCCCATGTATTCAGTTTTTGTTCTACTCAAACGAAGGCCTTTAGACTCTAAGGTAGACTCCATAATTCAAGTTTTTCCTGAGCTTTTGCTCTCGTCTTATGTACGAGAAGGATATCATCAACAAAAAGCATACACCAAGATACATCCTCCTGTAAGTGTCCAGTAAGACCATCCATAATTAAAGCACATTGCTTTATAGACAACACTACTAAAAAAATTAAGAATGTATAAAAGCAAATCAAGGGAATAAATTGGGAGAAAAAGGAAAAGAGAAAACTAGAGTTTGACTTAGATTATGGTATCATCATTACTTCAAAGAACGACAGCTTTATTAAAGAAGTTGGGAATCTTAAAAGAGAATGAGTTGTGTTGGTCAATGTGATAAGTTGTAACAATGAAGATAAATGATTATAGATGTATCTAAGTTCGGGTATATGTTGTTGCCTTAAGAAAATGATATATAAGAATAATTCATGAATCCTTATAATGATTAAGTCAAGAGGGGACGGTTAAGAGAAAGGGAAATACAGGTCAAAATTAGATTTAGGCCAAAATTTGGGGATTTTCATTACCTTACAAGACATCAGTGTTAAAGAAAATAAGATTATCAAAAGAGAATGGATCATTTTGTCAAGGGGATATATTTAAACAAAAAAAAATTAAAAAAAAAAAGAGAATTAGAGGTAGACCTAAGTTTTGGCATTATTGTTACTTTAAAGATTAGATATATCAAATAAAGTAGGAATATAAGCAAGAGAATGAGTCGATTTGATCAATGGTATAAGTTAAGAGGAAAAATTAAGTTATAGTTATATATACGTAAGGAGATGTTGCTGCCTTACAAAACAATATATATAAGAATAAATCAGGAATCTTTCTAATGAATGGGTCCAACCTGGTTGATTATAGAGGTGCATGAAAATTGGAATGAGAATGAGTCAAATTAATTAAGAAGGGACAAATTAAGAGAAAAGGAAAGAATAAATTAGGATTAGACCTAAGTATGGAGATTTTTATTACCTTACAAAATAATGCTACTATAGTAAAGACACAATAAAAGGAATGAGTTAGTTTAGTCAAGGGATTTGTTGGGCAAATAAAGAAAAAGAGAGAATTTAAGAAAGATAATAAGTCAGGTTGTGGTTAATGGTATAAGTTGAGAGACGAAAAAAAGAATAATCATTATAATGAAGTTAGGAGATTTATTTTGGCTTAGTTGTATTTTGGATGTAAACCATTTAAGTTTTTTATTAATATTTTTATTATGTTTCATTTTTTAATATTTTTTTAATATTTATCTTTAGGTGATCATACATTCATTAAAAACACATTTAACTATTTAAAATGAGCGCAATCTCTCTCTCTCTATACAAACACACACGCACACATTCACATACATACACAAAAATGTGATGATTTTAAGGCAAATAACGGGCAAAGAAGCACATTAATCAAATCTAAACTTATTAAATCATCCACTGGGAAGTCTTTTTTTTTTATTTCTCTTGCTTATGTTAAAATTGACGTTGAATTATGAGAGATGTAAAATTACTTTATTTTTATACGAGAAGAATGAATCATGAATCGTTATAATGATTACTTCTATTTTGGTTGATTATAGAGGCACTTAAAACTAGGAAGGACAATGATTCACATTAATCAAGAGGGGATAATTAGAATTAGACACAAGTCCATGGATTGTCATTACATCTTAAAACAATGGAAGAATGTAAGAAAGAGAATAGTCTAGTTTGGCTATGGGAATAAGTAGAGAGAAAGAGAGAATTATGGTTGCATTTAAACTTGGAGATATGTCGTCACTTTACACAATGGCATATATAAGGATAAATCATGAATTTTTAAATGATTAGCCCTAACTTCAATTAGTTCTACCCACATTTGTGCGGGATAAATCGTTAATGGAGTTAATGGTAAAATTTGTTTTACTCTTCTCATTGATTCTTATCGCTAGCATTAATTGCTTCTTGTTTCTAAGCTTCTTCTAGAGAATGTCTATCAATGTATCGTATGCATGCTTCTTAATACTTTTTATTTATACTCTTTCACTCACATTGTAATCTATCCCACAATCCCTAGACTATCTTTCAATGTCACACTTATTTTTTTATTTTTTTATTTTTTTATTATTCCATTGATTTTTTTAAACTTTCAAAAGACTTGATATTATTGTTGCTAATTGAATCATTATTTTTTGCATTAGAATTTATTGCTTGTTGTTTAAAGCTGGCTCATGAAATAAATATAATATGCATATAATAGATGTATATATAACATATAATGAGTTAAATAAAAAATTTAGTTTCTGATTTTTGATAAAAAAGAAATCAACCCTTTTACGTCACATTATGTTTAGCACTTAGGAAATACTAGCTATTGAACTTGGTTCACAGCAATAGATGTATGCAAGATGTGTTTGTTGACCTCTAAATATATCAAGGATATGCTATTCATAATCAAGCCCAACTAATTTATTTGTCCCCCTACAAAATTATCAAGTCATTTGTGACTCGGTGGAATTCAGATTAAATCGCTTTAGTTTGACAGATCTCTATTTGTTCAAGCTAATTTTTATAGAACTAATAATTCTGTTGGCCTTGTGTGGGCCTGAACCCCTCAAATCAATTTTGAGAATGCCTAAGGATGTAAGCTCTCATGAAAGGGCCATGCATGGCTCAGAATAATGCCAATATGCTATTTTCACGCAATAGTTTAGTGCCACCTCATCATTTATGTGGACAAATTTAGCCCTGCATAGATGAAGGGATTCAAAAGCTCTACTTCAACACTTAATCCCACATTGTTGAGAGCCATATTTTGTTCTATATGTAGCGGTCCTAAGCCTTCTTTTAAAGCAAGCAAAGGATGAAAATTGATAAGCATTGACAGGCTATTAAAACCGCTATTTGATCACCTAAACATGGCCTTTTTCATTCACATTTCTTCATCTAACATAAAAACCTCATCATACATGTTTTTCTGGACACCGATGTGCTATTCAGTTTTCATACACGTCTTTTTTGTGAAATTGTGAGGCTTGTCTTTGCATTAACAATGCCATTGCGTGTTCATCATTGTTTTAGTGGCTTGATGAACTAAGATCATTATTGACCATATATACGCCTTAATTGTGTGGGGCACTGACGTCCTTCAAAATTTGACATCATCAACCTTGCCATCCCTTAATTGGTTGCATGAAAGCACTATTGAAACTGTTAGATAAAATCATTAGTTTAAAATGTGCATTGTGATAAAAAGTATTCTTAAAATTATGTGATTTTGAGAATCTTAGGATGAATTTATGGCACTAAATTGAAAGACTTAGCAAAATTGAAACATCATGAGGAACATGCATCGACCTATGAAATTTCTCATGCATTGGGCACGCTTACATGCAGTTCATTTTATAAACAACTTGTGTATTTGTAGATACAAATCCAAATCCTCATAGATATATTTCTTAATCTGGTGGGAATCTTTGATCATCTATTACAAGATGTGTCACATGCGTGCACAACACTAAAGTAGTATAACCTTTCTTGGCATGATGATAATACATAGCCTCACTGCTATGCGCCATGTAGACATGTTCTTATCGACTTTGTAGGGAAGAAATCAAATGTGATCGTGATGTCCCGTGCATGGCATATACGTGATTTTCAAAAATTGTTGGGATGGCCTAGCACACTTTTTAGTACCCACTTATGGTAGTGACAAGAAAACATTGTTATGGCAACTTTTTACATAACAATCACGTGAATTGAGGCATACAATCATATACTTGAAGACTGGTGAACATAAACAAAATACTAGGATGATAACTAACCTAAGTCTCTAAGAGAGATTTCAAAGCTTAAAATGGTAGATGCAACACACGTAACAAATTTCGTGATCTGATTAAGTTTGTTTGATTTTATTTTTCGATCAATATTCAATTCAAAGTGCTACACCTAAAGGCAAGGTTGCAAGG